AAAAAAAAAAAAAAACGTTATAAAAAATATTGAAAACAAAATATGTCATGCAGAAGAATAAACTAAACAACATTTGCCTCAACAGTACATCCAAATTCCATAGCAAATTTGAAATAATAATCAAATATGAAAAATAAATAATATTAATGAAAATAAAAAAAAATAAAACGAGAATGAAATTATTGCGAGTATGAGCAAGTTTTTGACACCGCCATCTTTGGCGATTTTTAATTTTTTTTGGCTTTGTCAAATGCCATGAAATTTTATACATATGTATCTTACATAATAGAGAACCTACAAATAAATTTTTTAAAAATGATAATTTTTTTCAGGCCCCGAAATAAAGGGAAAACAAAAAGTGAAAAGAAAAAAAAAACAAATTAGTAAGTGGGAAAGCAAGTTTTGACACCACCATATTTGCCGATTTTTCATTATTGTTTGGCTCAACAAAATGACTTCAAAATTGAGAGACAGGTAGCTTACATAACAGAGAACTCACAAAACAAAAATCAGAAAAAAATAATAAGTTTTAGGTACCAAAATATTTTTTTGCGGGGTCCGAACCCCTTCGAGTTCGGGCCCCGTACGGGGACCCGAACGCCCGAACGTTCGGGGGTCAGCTTAGCGGCCTCCGTACGTTCGGCCTGGCAACTTTGTATAATTATTATTTTTTCAAACTCTATTTGTAGATTCTCTATGATGTAATATACACATACATAAATTTTCATGGCATTTTTCACAGCCAAAAAAAATGAAAAATCTCCAAAGATGGCGGTGTCAAAAACGTGCTCACCCACTCAATAATTTCATTCTCGTTTTATTTTTTCTAATTGTCATTATTATTATTTATTTTTAGTATTTTATTTTTATTTCAAGTTTGGTAAAGAATTTGGATGTAACGTTGAGGCAAATGTTGTGATAGATCATCAGAGCAACACAAGTAGACAGACCTGGGTCTGTAACATGCATAAAGGACAAGACGAAAGAAGACCAGATGGGATGAAGATATGAAGAATGAAAGAATGAAAAATATCCCCCCGAGCGCAATTAAAGCGCGTAAAATATAGCACAAATAAAGTTGGCGCAAAAGCGCCGTAGACAATGAGCACGCCGGCGATGACTTCCGACACGTGTTTCGACCGACTCGCCAGTGTCAGTCATCCTCAGGGGTGAAAGCGCACGGTGAAGAAAGAATAAAAAAAGTTACTTCCTATATAGTGAGACGTGAGCTTCTAGCAACTTCTGATGAAAAAATATTCCCGCCAAAGTACCATCCGAAGGTATTTGAAAAAAGGAAAAAGAAAGAAAGATTCCCTGGAGAACTACGACAAAAAAGGAGGGTCCCATTCTGGCCTATCCACGTAGTCACTTAACCCAATCGGTAAGGCACTGGACCCAAGGGTCTCAAGCCCCCGCAATTTTAACGTTGAAATTCTGCAGGGCCTTGTCAAAAAAGCAATCAGCGAACCTGCGACGGCGGAGTTCCATTTTCACTAATAAAAGAAAGGGCGATTCCCCTGCTGGCAAGGTGCCCATCTCATGTGCCCGATGCAGGAAGGCCGTGATGACCGCTATTTTTTGTCGTCAGCTGCTATATGACATGAAATCTTGAAGGTTCTGAAAAATAATACGGCCATCTTGCAGAAGGTTTGCCTGATTTTTATGCAGCACTTGACCGTACACCCTCATCGGTTCTCTCCCAGCAACCAAGTGGCAACCCAAATATGGCCAGTCGTTACCCTTGCTTGTTTTTTCCAAGGTCAAATGCCTATCATAGCATTGCGACTCAAATCGTTTCAGCAATAGTACTGCTCTTCTACGCTCCCGAATGTTCCCATTTTTATATCTAATGAAGATACTTACATCGTCAATCAATCGACATCCCTTGACCAACTTGGCGTCGTTACCCAAGCTACACAAGAACGCATTCTCATTATGCGCACACATCAAGCATGCTAAGGCAGGACTAGAGGGTTTTCCTATAGGGATACCCAAAATTTGCTTCATGACTGTACCTATGGCCATAGTGTATGTATGTTCCAAATCAAAAATAATAAAACTCATCAATTTTGAGAACCTAACTGATTTTCATCCTACAGCACCCGAGGAAATGCTAGAAAACCGTACCTCCTTTCCTTTATTCTTAATTAGACACTTAAAGAACCCTTTAGACTCGTAAACGCTGATTGCCCATTCCACAGCGGCAATAATAGCGGAGTGTGGTAACTGGCAGAACATTTCTTTGACGTCAAAACTTCCACAGATCAAGTCCTCGTCGTTACCGACGCTCTTATTCACCATCTCCAGAAAGAATTTCATACAATTTGTACTTCTAAGATTAAAGTGTGAAGACTGCGGTAGACGTCTTAACATCTCATTAATGCATGCAGAAGTGAGCTCAGAGGCTCTTCGTGACGGCTCCTTGGTTGTCGGACATATCGACCACCATCTGTTAATATCCTTATGTTTGGGTAGGACGTACGCCCTGCCGAGGGAGCCCTTACCCTGTCTCTTATACACATCTAGATGTGTATAAGAGACAGCTGACGCTCTTATTCACCATCTCCAGAAAGAATTTCATACAATTTGTACTTCTAAGATTAAAGTGTGAAGACTGCGGTAGACGTCTTAACATCTCATTAATGCATGCAGAAGTGAGCTCAGAGGCTCTTCGTGACGGCTCCTTGGTTGTCGGACATATCGACCACCATCTGTTAATATCCTTATGTTTGGGTAGGACGTACGCCCTGCCGAGGGAGCCCTTACCATTCCATGGTGCAGCCAAGTTCAACTTCTTTGCAGCGTACTCCTTCTTAGCATTTTCCAGCACAGAAGACTCGTTCTCTTGCAGCCTAACCAAACCCGGACTGTTCGTAAACAATTTACGCATGGCCTCCGCATAGATAAAGGGACAACAAAAAAGAGTATCCCCGGTATTGTGGTCAATAGCACATGCAACCAAACCTTCTATCCTAACTTTCCAATTTTATACCTCATCAATGGAAATAGTAGCAGTAGCATCAGATCTCTCGAAAAAATAAAAACGAACATCAAGGTCAGAACGTCTTTTTATTTCAGAATCAAAGAATTGGCTAAATGACTGATATATCTGACTAACCAGAGCCTGGGGGTGTGATGGATAGCGAGGCAGAATGATGTTTTTGGAGTTGACGATTGACAGAAGGACAAAATCAACTAGACTGGCCCTGAAAAGGACATGCCCTTTACATCTAGGGTACAAGGCGTCATTATTCTCACAATTCTACCCAGCATTTTTTACAAAAAAAAATTCCTTCTCCTTGTTCTGGAATACGCTCATATTTTCCGTGCATTTTGGAGAAGGGTCACGAGAGTAGTATCTGTAGTTATGTAGCACGTCAGCAACAGATTGATTGCGAGTAAATACAATGCGGAGATGTTTACTGATATATGTAAGATATGAAGCAGGAAAATTGAGTCCAAGCACGAGACTTCTACACAGACTTCTAAGACCATCTAGGGATAGGGATTCATCAAACCTACAAGCTTGCCAGAGAGATTGAGACCGAACTTTCGACGAAAGGCATGAAAGAGAAACAGTTTCAAGGAAGAACGAGATCGCTTGAGTGAAAGGGAGCATACAGCGCTATATGCCCTGATAAAAAGATTCAAATCCTAGATTCTTAATTCCTTTCGTGAGGTGGGAGTGCTAAGAAGTCTGATGAGAGTATTCTTGATGGGTAATGATCGAGAGAGGAGTCTTTTGACAAATATGAAGGTGACACTCGAGCCTTTTTGAAACCAAGCCCTACAGCTCTTTAGCAAGGAAGATGAAAGACCAGGAAAAGATACAATAGAACATCCAAATTCCCAGCGGATGAGCTTCCATTTTTCCGCCAGAAAACCAGATGAGCAAAGAATGGTGAAGGGTACATTGGGGGAAGAGACCGAACGAAGAATGGATCGAAGGCTTAGAGACCATGAGCCGTTGGGTTGGGAAAATACTAAAGGGGAGAATGAAGGCGCACAAGAGGATAGATGGTTAGCAGAATAAAGACGTTTTTGCTTCCTACGCTCGTTCCTACCAGGTCGACGCTTAGACTTCCTGTTATTATTACATCGCGACACAGAATTAAGTGCAGGGCAGAACAGACGGATAAAGAATTTTTCGCAAGCAAGCAGATCGTCAGCAGGTGGAGAATAAATAGGGATAGCAACATAGCAGCCGAGACCACAACGAGATAACCATCTATACAATCGACGATCCCTACGATCGAAACTACCCAATGTACAGCGGATGTGTTCCTGCCAACGTATTGACAATGATCTACTAGTGCAACCGATGTAGACATGCTTGAACCACGGAGAAACAATTGCATAGACAACCAGACCCGGACACCTCTTAAAATCGTATCCTGCAAAGATTAAGTCACAAAGGAGATTCCTAACTTTCAAACACCATCTAATCTGACCACAAATAATTAAAAGAATCATAATCAGCCTAAAAGCATAGTGTAACGTTTGCCAACCTTGAAAGAAGCTGGATCGCCCATCCCGAAGGCGCAGCGCAGAATCCCATAAATGAATTGTACTCGGGGCGCCTCCCTACTTCTCGGCATCTTCTGTGGAGGTAGCATACTGATCCTCCGCTTCGTCATCACTGACCTCCTGTGGTTGATCACCCTTTTGCGTAGCCAAGTTTGGATCCTCCATAATGCCGAGCTCGATCCGTGTTTGGATCTCAGCCAAATCGGTCTTGGCTTGGGTCAGCGTGATATAACTTATACCTGCCTGGTCACACAGCGGCATGACATCAGCCTTCTTGAGCGGTTTCAGCTCCTTGTTCTTTGCGGCCAGCACCTTTCTGTATCGATAGCTGGCCTGCTTATTCGTCTGCTCCGTAGACGGCCCTTTCCTCGTCAGGGCTTCTCCTTCTTCCTCCTCCTGTTCGGAATCCTCCTTGTCCGTCGCGATCTCTTCCGTGGCCACCTTCTTCAAGCTTTTCTTCAGATTTCGTGGTGTTGTTTTTCGTACCGTAGGCATCCGCCTTATTCTGGCTGCTGATTTTGTCGCATATCTCTCCTTGAGCATCCGCACCTCCTCTTGCGCCCACTGCTTGCTGACGAGTGCATCCTTATATGCTTTTCTGAGCGTCTCCATGTCTTTAGGTGTGTACATGGCAGTGCTGCTATTAGTCACCTTAGCCTTGCCTGTCGCTGGTTCCTCCGGAGGGCTCCTTTCTGTCACAGCGTCAGAAGGTCTTTTACTCAGCCTCGCCGCACACACCTCATCTTTCAGGTCTCTGAATTCCTTTCTTAAATGCGAATTCTCCTCTCGCAATATAGCCACTTCATTATTTTTCTCTTCGAGTGCAAATTGGATCACCTTCAGATCCCCAATCTGTTTCTTCAAATCGGCAATCTCTTGCTGCTCTTTCTTGTTCGAGCTTCCACTCGAAGCGATCTGCTTTCCTCCTTTCCGCAGATCATCAACCTCCTTCCTTAGTCGTTCTTCCTCTTGTTGTGTCAGCAATATCTCCCGTTCCTTCTTCAACCTTTCCAACTCACTCTCCTTAGCAGGTTCAAGGCTCCGAGCCTTAAGTGCCTCCAGTTCTCTTCTCAACTGTGCCACCTCGGACTCCCCATCTTCCGGTAAGTCGACCTTCTTCCCCAAAGCCTTCTCACAAATAATCTTTATGTTCTCTCTTACCAGATGGGCCATAGCCAACTCATGCTTCTCCTTCTCCTTTTGCTCTGCCGATGATTTCGCCTTGTCTTTCTCCGCTTTCTGAGTTAGCATGGCTTCCTTCTTCTTTGCGTCCCGTTCTTCCACTTGTTCATGCAAAAGCCCATACAACTTTTCGAATTTTTCATTGTCCCGATCCCTATATTGGCCATTCCATGACTTTGAGTATCGCTGGTAGCCTTGCAAATAGTAGCTACCTCGACCGTAGCTATAATTCCCAGATACCTGGCCGCCACTCTGCTGGTTCGCACCTCCTTGGTAAGGAACGATAGCGGTAGATGTCGATGCGTCTGGAGCAGGTAGCAGCCCGTCGGAAGAGGAAGCTCCGTTATTTCCGGCCACTAATTCCGCAGCGTTTGGAATCCCTCGAAGTTGGCAGTCACGAACAAAGTGGCCCGGAAGACGGCAATGATGGCATACTCTCGGCCCGTACATCTTGACAAAAATAAAAACAGACTCGATGAGACTATACCGTCCCAACAGTAGATCGGGCAATACAGCCCTAGACTGTTGACCAACCGTAGCGCAATAATCAGAAGAGAAATGTCGAAGAGACGAAAAGACGTAAAACAGGTAGAGAGGTAGAGACGAAAGAGCGTAGTCACACGGTCGGGGTGAATATCCCCCCGCCGGTTCGTACATGAGCGTCGCAGTGATAGATCATCAGAGCAACACAAGCAGACAGACCTGGGTCTGTAACATGCATAAAGGACAAGACGAAAGAAGACCAGATGGGATGAAGATATGAAGAATGAAAGAATGAAAAATATCCCCCCGAGCGCAATTAAAGCGCGTAAAATATAGCACAAATAAAGTTGGTGCAAAAGCGTCGTAGACAATGAGCACGCTGGTGATGACTCCCGACACGTGTTTCGACCGACTCGCCAGTGTCGGTCATCCTCAGGGGTGAAAGCGCACGGTGAAGAAAGAATAGAAAAAGCTACTTCCTATATAGTGAGACGTGAGCTTCTAGCAACTTCTGATGAAAAAATATTCCCGCCAAAGTACCATCCGAAGGTATTTGAAAAAAGAAAAAAGAAAGAAAGATTCCCTGGAGAACTACGACAAAAAAGGAGGGTCCCATTCTGGCCTATTCACGTAGTCACTTAACCCAACCGGTAAGGCACTAGACCCAAGGGTCCCAAACCCCCGCAATTTTAACGTTGAAATTTTGCAGGGCCTTGTCAAGAAAGCAATCGGGGAACCTGCGACGGCGGAGTTCCATTTTCAGTGATAAAAGAAAGGGCAATTCCCCTGTTGTTTAGTTTATTCTTCTGCATAACATATATTGTTTTCAAATTTTTTGGATTTTTTTTTTTTTTTTTTTTTTTTTTTTTTTGGGTCCGCGTTCGGTTGAACGCCCGAACGAGTCGAGAGGGGGTGCCGAACGTTCGGGCGTTCTGGATCGGGCATTCGCCCCGTCCCAAACGCCGGCAACGCCCGAACGTTCGGCACCCCCTCTCGACGCATTCGGCCGTTCGGCCAAACGCGGATCAAAAAAAAAAAAAAAAAAAAAAAAAAAATTCCAAAAAATATAAAAAAAAAAAAAAAAAAAAAAAAAAAAAAAAAAAAAAAAAAAAAAAAACAAATTCCAAGAAATCTGAAACAAATATATGTTATGCAGAAGAATAAACTAAACAACACTTGCCTTAACATTATATCCAAATTCTTTACCAAATTTGAAATACAAATCAAATACTAAACATAAATAATAATAATAAAAATAAAAAAAATAAAACGAGAATTAAATTATTGAGTGGGTGAGCATGTTTTTGACACCACCATCTTTGGCGATTTTTCATTTTTGTTTGGCTGTGAAAAATGCAATGAAAATTTATATATGTGTATCTTACATAATGGACACTCTACTAATAAAGTTTTAGAAAATAATAATTTTTTTTATGCCCCAAAATAAAGGAAAAAACAAAAGTGAAAAGAGAAAAAAAACAAATTTGTGAGTGGGCAAGCAAGTTTTGACACCACCACCTTTGAGGATTTTTCATTTTTGTTTGGCTGAACAAAATGAATTCAAAATTAAGCGCGGGATACCTTACATCATAAAAAACTCACAAAATAAAATTCAGAAAAACATAATAATATTTGTGTGTCAAAATAATGTTTTGCAGGGTCCGAACCCCTTCAAGTTCGGGCCCCGTACGGCGACCCGAACGCCTGAACGTTCGGGGGTCAGCTTAGGGGCCTCCGTACATTCGGTTTGGCAACCCTGTATATATCTCTCTCTCTCTCTCTATCTATCTATATATATATATATATATACATATATGTATATATATATATATACAGGGTTACCTGACCGAACGTTCGGGGGCCCCCGGGCTGGCCCCCGAACGATCGGGCGTTCGGGGGCCCGTTCGGGGTCCGAACACCTCCAGGTTCGGCCCCCGCCAAAAAACAAATTGGAGCCTAAGAATAAAAACAAATTTCAGATAATTTTTTTTTGAGTTCTCTATGATGTAACCTACACGCCTATAAAGTTTGAAGCCATTCTGCTGAGCAAAAAAAAACATTAAAAATCATCAAAGATGGGGGTGTCGAAACGTGCTCGCCCCCTCACTATTTTGTTTTTTTTCACTTTTAACTTTTTGTTTTCACTTTATTTCGGGGCCTAAAAAAAATTATTATTTTTTGAAAAACTTTTAATGAGTTATTGATTATGTAAAGTACATATCTGTAAATTTTCAGGTCATTTGTCAATGCCAACAAATAATTAAAAATCGGCAAAGATGGCGGTGTCGAAAAGGTGCTGGCACACTCACTCATTTTAATTCTCTTTT